TGACCATTACCCAGAATCGGATTGATTCCGGCTTGATACCCCGTTCCTCAGCAATTTCTTGTGCAAATTCCTTCACTTTCTTGGCTCGAAGAGTGCGATACTGCTTGGGAACTGCTGGGTCCTCGGCGGGCAAGTCTGGGCTGGTCAGATCAAAACCGTGGTGTGATTTGAACGTGTCGTCAGTCAAAACACCGACGTTCATATAAAGATGCGCCTCTTCCCTCTCCTTCTTGCGACGCGCCATCTCCACTCGGTCCTCGGATAGACGCTTTTCAATGTGATCGGGCACATCATCCTTTGTGACCGGGAAGAAAACGTCATCCTGTCTCGTCTTTCGAACGTAGACCAGCATGTAAGCGTTGTTTGTGCGAATGGCAGACCGGCCTCCAGTCGCTCCATTAGTGCGCTGCTGGGAGTCACCGTAGTTCTCATCCAGGACTTCCTTGTCAGTAGCGCGGTTGACTCGGTCATCATCGAAGCGGTACCAGTGGCCATCCTTGCTGGGCTTGAGGAAGGCGTAGTAATGTCCGGCATCCAGGTTACCACTGTGAACGAGGACTCCGTGCAATTGGTAAACCCAAGACTCCGACTTGTCAGCACCCTCGGAAAGATAAGGAGCGGCATCAAATTCCATGGGGAATGTGTGAAGATCGTTAACCTTGGCCATCATATCCAAGTTGAGGTCGTACTCGAAACGTTTGAGGTGAAGGTGCAAAACTGGAGGGAAGCTCTCGAAAATGACGCCCTTCTTGGCGTCTTGCAGACCATACGGCTGCCCGGCGTCGTACTTGTTCTCTCCCTCTAGAGTCTCGACCTGGATGTAATCTCTGAAACTGTCGTCTAGGGTCTTGTTGCCTCGAACGTTAAGCTGAATGTCCCAGAAATCCTCCACGCGAGAAGACTCGTAGTCGACGTTAATGCAGGAGATATATGTTTTTGTTTTTCCCACGAACAGATCTGGCAGAACCTTCTCGGCTACAGTGCCCTTCATCTTGTGCTCCAATCGCTCCATGAGCTTCCGCGAGAGCTCCTGTACATCCTGCTGTTCAAAGATCTGGCTAGATTGCCAACCGAAAGATGCTGTGAGCTCGGTTGTCGAGACTGCAGTGTCGCTGGTCTGCAAGTTATAGAACAATCTCTGAAGGGCCCAGGCGCTGTTCTCCCGCGAAGCTTCCTGATCAGTCGGTATTTGATAAACAGCCTAGATATTGGTCAGACTCATCAAGCGCATTCCTGACTAGTTTACTTACCTTGCGGAAAGCGTTTGTGAAGTAAAGCGACTGCAGAAGTGAGTTGAGATAGCAGGTAGCACCCTGGTTCCTCAAACCAACCATTCCAGTCTCCTTCTTCGAGTCATAACTAAGAAAAGGTGAGCTTCTTGTATTGCCGAGATTCTGAAAAAAAAAAAAAAAAAAAAAAAAAAAAAAACCCACTTCTGGAAACTATGCCACAAAACACCCGTGGGATCTTTCACCACTCGGACATATGCTGTGACATTGGCCTCATCGTCCTGGACCAGCGGGACAGATTTGCCTTCCCACGCATCGGCAAACAGGCTTCGGAGATCGTAGAATCGAGTGAAACCCCAGTCACCTTCCTCGGCGGTGAAACGGTGGGTTGCAACTAAAGTTTATATTAGTCTTGCTACACAATTCCTCCAAGACTCAAAATTCTTACCATGATGCACATAAATCGAAGGATCGTTCACGTTCGAGAGAACAAGAGCGAATTGCACACAGGCGTACCAGCCCTCCGGGGGCTCTCCCTCCCACGCATGTTCGAGGTAGAACGAGGCATGTTCGGCGTGGTTACCGTAAGGGAAAAACAGAATGCGCCTATTCACGAGTCAGAGCCAATGTCGGTATAGAGCCTCTCCGGCCAAGAGATTTCAAGCACCCACCAAGGCGAGCCACCACACTGGAAGACTGGGCCGTGAGACTTCTTCTCCATCTTCCGCCAATCGGATAGACGCCATGTATTGTAGGCTTCATCTTGCGTTTCGAGATCGGTGTTCTTGGGGAGGACCCGGGCCATCATCGCCGCATCTATTTCCATAGGAGGCTCTTGGTTAGCTACCATGTCGATTTACAGTGTAACCAAACAAACAGAGCGAGAGAAGTGTGACCGAGGGATCTCATCTGGGCGCCCCTCGGTCGCTTTGTGTCCCAACCCAGACACACTCGCTTATGTTTGTCCGCGTTGGCTGGGAAGGGGAAGGAACAAAGAACGTACGGTCATCGGCAGTTGGCGTCGAGTCGGGCTCGTCGGAGGCAGACCGAGACACGACGACGACATCGGTCTTTTCGGCGGGATACTGCTCATAGTCATCGACAAGCATGTCGTTCTCCGCGAGCTGTTGGCAAGGTTAGCGCAATGACGACACTGAGGGGCACGGTCGCTTACGTTTTCCATCGCGGAAAGCGGCTTCCCGACCAGTCGGCTTGAATGTGAGGATTTTTAAGAGAAAGTAAAGAAGAAAGGAAGAATAGTACAGAGTGGTGGAGGATGCTGAACCTGCAGAACTAATAAGAGCCGGAGCTAACGGTGGCGGAGCGAGGACTCGGCAGTATCAGTGGACCTTCGTTCTTATACAAAGAGAGCAAAAGAGCTCGATTGCAAGGTTGTTTGTAGTATTTCTATATTTATCTTATATGGTGACTTTACAATTACTCTATTTCTACAGTAAACAGATGTGTAAGTAGTAACCTAGGCGAGTTGGATGTCTTGGGGATGTTGCGAGTATCAGTGGACCCCTTCAAATCAAGGTATGGGAGTATATCAAGCCCTAATCCTGATCTCCTAGTACATGCCTAGCTATAGCCAAGTCCATAGAAGACTATAATATCACCTGTGCGTTTGGATCCTCTGCAAATACCAGCCCCTCCGATCCTCATCGGCTAGCTCAACCTGTGCAGCTCTTGACCCGAGGCTAATAGCAGTAGCCCTAGGATTACTCTCCACAGTCAAGTGAAATAAATACCACTAAACAGTAAGATGTAATGTGTGAGCTCACAATTATAAAGAATATAAAAAGAATCCAAACAAACAAGCAGAAACGCCCAAAAAGATCTCCAGTGTGGCATGTCACATGCAGGAATGCCTCACCGCCCGAGACCCCAAAATCTGGAGATGCGATAGAACACTTTGGGGATACTCTTTTGCATGGAGCACAATGCGGTCGAGTTACTCAGCTCGGAGCTGGAATGTACTCCAGTCTCTACCAATACGATGCTACTCAGGAGCCCACAGCCCGCCACCCTGGCGGCCAGTTTCTGCTGTCGATGAGTACGCATGACTCAAGACCTTCTCGGAAACGTATCCCTGGAGTAATGCTGACGCTGTATGTTTGAATAGGTGGGTTGAACGAGCTATTCGCCCTATCAGTCTGCGACAGTTGACCTTTTTGGTCGTACCTTGACCGAACCGCGCCTCATTAGCTCGGCTAACTACGTGCGGACGGAGCTACCAACTCGGTACGTCATGGGAAACACCAGAGAAGATATGTGGGAGCTAACTGGGTGGTGGAACAGCCTTGCGCATCGCCTGCGAGATATCCAACAGCTGCCCTATGTGGTGGTTGCCAACCCGCATCTCACCCTCGTGTATGAATTGTACTACAAAGCGTTTGAGACGGTTCGGGTAGTGCCTGAGATTCGGAGCCTCGAAGATAATGATCGTTTCTGTGACATTCTTCGGGGAATGCTCAAGGAGCATTTGGTCGCGATTCCCAACCTAGCTATGGGCGTATTGGAGTGCCGCAATCTCGCCCCCGCAGATGAGATGGATAGGTTGATGAACACACTTCTGCGAGCGGTATGTGCATATGATCCTGGCTCGACCTGCTATTGAACTGACATGATTGGATCATGATAGAGAATCTCCCGTCGAGTCATCGCTGAGCAGCACCTAGCTCTGACCGAGACGTTCAACTCACCGTGGCATTTCCCTGATTCACACGATCGAACCGATATGAACGCCGATTTCGTGGGAGAAGTGTTCCTCAAGTGCAAAGCGAAGGAGGTGGTCGAACGATGTGGAAGGGTTGCACAAGATCTGATGCGCAAGAGCACGGAGTCGACCCAGATACCTGCCATCACCGTCCAAGGCCATGTAAACGCCACTTTCCCGTATATCCTCAGTCATCTGGAATATATCATCGGAGAGCTTCTCCGCAACTCCGTGCAAGCAGTCATGGAGAAATATCAGCATTCATCACAACCCCCGCCTCCCATCGAAGTGCTCGTGTGCGAGACTCCGCAGCATGTAATAATGCGCATCTCAGACCAGGGAGGCGGAATCCCACGAGAGATCCTCCCATATCTTTGGTCGTTCAGCAAGGGGCCTCGCACCCAGTCCCGGCTGGAAAACCTCGGCCAAGTCCCTGCAATGGCGGCTACAATGCAGGAGCTGCAGGTGTCACACGAGCGCAAACAGGCCGACCGGGAATCATACCACGAAGGATCCCTGGACACCCTGACATCACGGCCACCCAATCTCCGTCTGGGCATGGGTTTGCCTATGAGTCGGGTGTATGCTGAGTACTGGGCGGGCAGTCTCGAGCTGCATAGTCTGGAGGGGTACGGTGTGGATGCCTTCCTGCAGATCTCAAAGCTTGGCAACAAGAACGAGCAAGTTACCACTCGAGCGGCAATTGATGCGGTGTGATGTGGACAAGGAGTCCCAGTACCTCTAGTACTTGCCTATCTATGTACTCTGTACTGCCCTGTGTATCCTGTACTTGCACCGCCACATACGCCACAACCCGGAATGACGTCAGCATCTCCGATCGACGTTTGGGCAGCGAATGAAATGTCTCAGCCAACTTTCAGCCCTACACGAGTTGCATCGACCATGAAACGCATTAACTCCCCTGCCGATGACAACATCCCTATTTATATCTTCCTTCCCCTTTTCGCAATCCTCCTCCTCAGTTTTCTGGCTACTACCAGGTCAAGCGATCCCCCAAATCTAAACAATATACCGAACCTACAACCACCACCATGGCAGGCACTTGCTCGATGCTCTGTTTGATCGTTATCACATTATTCAGTAAGTGGTCTGAGACTACTGTGTTTCTGCCTGGAATTACCCCTCAAAAAAGACCCGTCATGGTCAACACTCTTGCCGGACTCCACCCCAGAAATGATGAGAACCAGATACTAACAACCACCAGTTCCTCCCCTGGGAGTTTTCCTCATCTCAGGCTGCGGCGTCGACTTTTGGATCAACGTCCTCCTCACCATCCTCGGGTGAGTCCATTATCAAACGAACTCAAACCCCCCAGATTTAACAACTAACCGGTGACTTCTGACAGCTACTTCCCCGGTCACATCCATGCCTTCTACCTAGAATATGTCTACTACGACCGCCGCAACCGCGATCCCCTAACCCGGAACGCCCAACGACCAGCCCCGGGTGTCTACTCTACTCGCATCCAAAACGGAGGTCATCATGCGCATTCCCCGACGCATGCTCCTGCCGATAGGGGCTACGGTACTATGTGATTTCTGCAATCACCCGAGACCCGTTGTTGAGCTCTCTCGACAACGAAACCACTATTTTTGAACTTTCTCAGCGAATACTTATTGTCAGGTCTCTTCATAGCGTCCGCCCTTGTTTTTCGGGAATGACTCTTCTCCTCGTGCAAGCAATGAAATAACAAGGACCAAATGCAATTCTTAATGGCTCGATTCTATATCCTCGTATCTCACTCGAAATGTAATAAATGACGAGGTCACGGCCAAACATTACCAAAGAAGACCATACACCATACACCATAGACCTATGGACTCTCCTTCACCTTGGCCTCAGCAGCAGCCTTCTTATTCCCCTTCAACTCGGGGAAATCAAAAGCCTCACTGGAAACAATAGTCCCAGCGGTATGCGGCACAGCCCCAGTATTAGGAGCCCACCACAAAGCCCCAACCCAAGGCTGAACATTCCACCCAACATGCAACGTCACATTCTGACGCTCAGCAAGTCTCCCCGTAATATCACTAATCTGATACTTGCCCTTCTGACCCCGCAACCGAAGAAGACCAGGCGTCACCGCCTCATCATTCTTCTTCTTATTCTTAGCAGCCGCGGTCTTAGAAATAGACTTCCCAGCACCAGCTCGCTTCTTAATGCGCCGCTTGGCAGCCGCCGCCGAAGGAGTAATTGATTCCGGCACGCGGGCAAGGATTTCGTCTTTCAGGATATCCCAGGAATAGGGCGAGGGCGCGGCCTCAATGATCGTGTCCCAGATTATGGCTTCGGAGTTGCGGACTTGCGAGCTTGGTTTGTCGGAGGAGGAGTAGCTGGCGTAGACATAGACGAAGAGTTGTTTTGTGTTCCAGTTGAAGAGGGGGCTTAGGTCTGCGTCTAGGTCGAAGCGGAGCTGGGCGTATTCTTCGCGTTTGGTGGAGTAGTAGTGTGGTCTGCCTTTGACGCTGTTGTTTGGGAATTGGAGGTTAGTAAATTGGTCTTCTTCTTTCCTTTTCTAATAGTACTGATGTGTATACGTGTAGAGAAGGTGGGTTGGGGGCCGAGTCGCGAACTTACACCTGTACGTTCTTCAGCTGTACTGAGGCCGTGGCGGTATCTGCTGGGAAGAGCAGCACTGACACTGCGGCCAGTGCGCTCACCACCAGCGCGACAGTGGTAAAGAATCCGAAGACGGACTGTACGCGGTTCAAGGAGGAATGCATTGTTGATGGAGGAAGAGAAGGGCGGATGAAGCCAGCTGGGCCTGTTTGTCCTTATCGATAAGGGAACTATATCTATACCAGCACTGCCTTCTCCTCTCTCTCTATCTCTCTCCCTCTCTTTTTTTGTATATATGTTTTTCGCTTCTCTTTCTCTTTCTCTTTCCTATCCCTTCATCTCACCGATTTATCATCTTCTCTTCTCCAAAGAATCCCATCTCGTCAATCACACATCCCGATAACCCAGCTCAACCCTCACCCCTCACCTGTCAAAATGGGAGACAACACCCTCTTCTTCTATGGTAAGACCCAATAACCCAGAATAAAGCTATTTGAGCCAACACTAAACTCGCCAGGGACCCTAATGGCCCCGCAAGTCCTCCACCGAGTAATCCACGGCCAAGCAAACCCAGAGCCCTGGCAAAAAGCCATGCTAAGCTTCCAACCCGCAATCCTATACGGCTACCGACGCCATCGCGTGCGGTTTGCCGATTACCCAGGAATAGTACCGGTAACCGGTACAGAGACAGAGTCAGACAACAAACCATCAACTCAATCAGCTTCATCAGCATCATCTGCAGCTCCAGCATCAACACACAACACAGTTCTAGGAATCCTCGTGACAGGCCTAACAGAAGGCGATATCCACCGCCTCGACAAATTCGAAGGATCAGAGTACACACATAGAAAAGTCACCGTGCGGACCTTGCGCACGGTCAAGCATGCAGAGGCCGGAGAGACAAGAGATACTCCCAACGACGGTGGAGAAGACCATTTGAAGGATGTTTTGGATGCGGCTAGTGCTGAGACTACGTCTACGACTGAAGGCGAGGAAGTGGATGCTATGACATATGAGTGGATTGGTGGGACAACTCGGCTTGAAGAGGCTGAGTGGGATTTTGAGACGTTTAAGAAGGAGAGGATGGCTTGGTGGGTTGGGGCGGACGAGAGTGAGTGGTAGAGAAGTTATGGAATGGGGGGTTGCTGGAGAATGGGGTTTTGAGGGTGTTTGCAAGATAACTCAGACTAGAACTAAAACTAGAACCAGAACTGGGACTCGAACTCGAACTTGAAAATACCCATGAAGATGAAATAAATGTATTGCAATGCAGACTGTGGTATCTCATGCCTTCCACTCAAACGACACTTGAAACCGAAACCGAAATCTCAAGTGAAGGAATTCTTAACAAACGCCAACAACTGAAATACCGCGACGAACCTGGTATTAACGTTAAAACCAAATCAGAAAAAGAAAAAGAAAAAAAGTGTGGATGCATATGCATATGCTAAATGACCGAAGTCTGTACTCGACCGAAGAAATGTATTCAATAAAAGACCCTATTAGACAAGAGATGGGAAATAAACACATTCATCCCTTGCGCGAAGGACCCCGTGGACTCCGTCGTATCCGTTCCACTGACGTTCGTGTGGGTGTGCCTGGAACTTGATGTTCTTCTTGGCTATCAGGGACTTGAATGACCGGTTCTTCCTTAACAGGCGAAGAGCGGGCACTTCGCTCCTTTGGGGGTTTGAGGTGTTTGGAGGGAGTTGCTGATTTGGGGGCCGATCTTGTGAGAGGGACCATCTGAACCTGGTCCAGACTTGAGTCTTCGCTCTCCTGCTCTTCTGTCTTTCGGGTTGTACGGGGTCCGAGTTCCACGGTTACGGAGTCCTTTGGTTTTTTGAGCTGCTGTTGAGGCTGTGGCTCCGGGATCTCCTCCACTTTTTCAGTCTTCTCTTGTGCTGACAGGGGTGGGCCTAGCAGGAAAGAGATTGGCTGTCGATCCGCCATGACCTGCGCAGGTTCGGCCTTGTATTTGTTGGCTTGTCTCTGTTCGTCGTAAAGCTCATCGAGGAAATCGCGAAGGCGCCGGCGTAGGAGACCCGAGCCCAAAGGAGGGAAGTCGAGATGAGAATCCATATCACGCTGGAGCGTTTTCGTGATGAAGTCATCAGGGCTCTGGACAAACTTCTCCAAGTAGGCAAGCAGGTAAAGGCCGCAGTCGGAAAAGTTTGGCTGAAGAGGGATTTGACGTGCGCACATGCCCTTGATTGTCTTCGTGTCGATTTCCACGCCACGCTTAGCCATTGCTTCGCGGCAGATGTAGTCTTTGAGCATTCTGACAGTAGTGCTGCGGCCGATGCCGAGAGAATCAAATGTGATAATGGAGGTCTGGCTGGGACTCAACCTGGGTCCTTTCCGTGTTTTCTTCTCGGGCTTGCTCGCTGACTTGGTTGCTCTAGTCTGGTCAACAGTGAGCTTCTGAGGCGTGGGAGTGAAGAACTTTGTGATTGGAGCAGTGGGAGCTTCGTCTGGTTCCGGCCAAGAGTCTTCGGCAGATTGCTGGTCCTCTGACTTGTTCCCAATCGAAAGGAAAGAAAATGACTTCCGGGTTTCACTCTCCTTCGAACGTCTCTTAGACGTCGATTTGGATGATTCGTCAGAGGTAGCTTCGGACTCTGGCACGGATGCCTGTTCCGGTTCAGGAGTTTCGCGTATTTCTTCCACCTCATTATGGGGCCTGGGAGATTCCTTGCCGTTTATAGGTGGTTGGGCCGACTCCGCAGGGTCCGCAGACTCGAGAGCCAAACTTGGCAAGTTGCAAATGATAGCAACATACCAATGAGCATTCTCATTAATGGGAACGACAACATAATCATACGTGAAAAGATCAACAGCGCGAGTCCACTTCTCCACACCACCATAGTTGATCCCGCGCTCACCTCGAGCAGTATTTGTGAGGGTTGCAAAGAAGTAAGAATTGAAAAAGTAGATCCGCTCGGCCGCCTTCTTGTTGGTACGCTCAAGATGATCCTGAATGAAACGCATATAGAATGCGATAAGGTTGTCGTTCAAGAACTCGTCCGGAAGAAGTCGGTCACGGTCATCGAGGTTAACCTCAGCTTTTTTCTTCCCGTTTCGGGGATAAACCAACGATTTCTTCCACTTGTCGCGGCCGGTATCATTTTTGAGATATGCAGCTTCTTTGCCGGAGTCTTCGCCGTCATGTCGGTCGTTCTTTTTCGGCGCACGACGTGCCGAAGATCGAGTCTCTCGTTCGGGTGGGTCATGGATAGCCTTGAAAGGTCTCACGGGAATCTCGACTCCGGCGTCGGCGTCGGTATCAGGGCGATCTTTCTTGTCTTCCGACTTTTTCCTGGACTCGATATTGCCGTCCGTCCATTTCGAAGATAGCTTGCTATCACGCTTGTCTTCAAGTAACGACTCATCCCCAAACTCGCCATTTGCATCCTGCAAAAAGTCTGAGATCTTTCGTCGTGGGGTGGAGGTCACCTTGGGCACAGGAGCGGGATCTTCCGTGTGATCATCGAGAACAGTGTTCTTGGACGGGGTCCCACACTGTGCCACATCCTTTTCATGTCTTGCAAACGCCTTGTCCATCCATTTCCTATTTGCATGTTAACAGATGAAACCTTAAGAGAAAGCCTTGAACATTAACACATACATGTCTCTTTCAAGTACAGTAACATTGGCGACTTGCAACCTTGTGATCAAAGCAGTCTTCTGGGCTTTAGTCGAAAACTCGATGTCTAGTATTTGGCCAGCCCCGGTAGAACCCTGCGAAAGCTTGATTCTAACTTTCCGGCTTGGGTCCTCGCCAGAAAAGACTTGACGAACATGTCTGAAAAGAATCTGTATGTCGCTACCACTGTCAAGTAGATATCCGGAGATATCAAGTCCATCTGGTCCCATATGTAAAGTAGCAGTCTCTTCTTTCATGCATGAGTTGGTAAATTGTCCAATTCGAAAAAAGGACACTTGCAATGGAATGCGAATATCAGCGTTCTTGTGAGAGCGCTTAGTCCGCTTCGGACCTTGCCGTGGTGATCCGGCGAAGTCAGTAGATCGAATGTCGGTGGGTGAGCGTTTTCGACGAGGACTTTCAACCCGATCCTCGTTTTTGCGTGCGTGGGTGTAGTTAATAATGGTCGCCCAGGACTTGGGCAATGGCTGAGTCGTAACATCACCTTGAAGTTCGTCCGGACTTTCAGGGTCAGATCGACGAGCTGTCTCAGAATCACCAGCAGGCTTCGTTGAACCTTCAATCTCGTCCAGCAGAAGGGACCTCGAGGCCCGATCTGGATCGCCATTGGCTTTAGATAGGGAATTTAGGACGTCAAACCGATTGCGGCGTTGTTGCGTGGCAATTTCCGAGAAGCGTTCAATTTGAGATACCCGAGAAGAGCCGCGAGCATCCCGAGCACGACGAGGACTGCGCGACAACATATTTTCCGTGTCTCTGAACTCGTCGATCTCCATTGCACGATACTTTCCTTTGGACTTGGAGGGAGCGAGTGGCGAAGTATGAGGTGAGCGATTTCTGATCGAGTCCGTTGCGCTCATATCATCATTTACAAGATCAATCGGGTCACTTTGTCGTCGCCTCTTATTCGGTCGATTAGATTCCTCAAATGCATCATCCAGATGAGAGGATTGCTTTGCGGTCGAATTCTGCTTATTTGTTTTCCCTTGGGAGCGGACAGGTCCACTCGTTCGTCCATTTTGCGAGCGCGAGATATGGTCCATTGGGGAGAACCCGAAGCTAGCCTGCAAGTAACACATCAGACAAAAGGCCACACTCATAAAAAGATTCGTAGAAACTCACCCCCGGCTTTTTGTTCTTCGGTAACGTTTGCCCAGGTGTGATCTTAACCCCGTTCTGAGCGTCCCTTTCAAAAACCACCTGTCAGCACCAATATTCCAATTCGCATAACGTTCAATCGCATAACATACCTGGTGTACGTCCCTCCCAATAAGCGGACCTCATCTTTTCGATCTTGGGAATTGGCCCGCTTATCCTTGTTCACCATCTGCGGCGACTGGCCCAGCCTGGGGAAAGGTAGGTTTGTAAGTCTTTGCCTGGCGGCGGGGTGTGGCATGGGGAGCATGATCTAACCAGGTGCCGAGCGCTAGAAAAGGCTGCGAATTCCGCTCGCGAAGTCGTTCGCGTGCAATTGGGGATCCAGGTTGAGAGGGGAATGTATCGACATAACTATGAAGCGCCTGCGTATATTGGATTAGTTTCAAGATAGACGAGGCAAGTCAAGAACACGAATGATAAGCGACACGCGCCGCGCTGAAAGGAGAAAAGTGACCGGTGTGGCGCGGCGCAGTGCTACGGCGTTGGTTCGCATATGAAAAGGAAACCTGTTGCAAAAGCAAATATCGGCGAGACGGGTAGATACGCACCTCTGGATGTGTAGAGGGAGGAACGTCCCCGCCAGCGGTCACTTCACTGGGATAGGTGTCGTCGTCGGATCCGGAAATGAAGGGGTTGTGAGAGGGTTGGGCACGTCGAGTGCGAGGAGGAGGGGTCGTGGTTGGTCCACGCTGGACTGCAGACCGTTGATCTTGGGGCTGTCGGCGCGGCGACAGAGCAGTGACGAAGTCGGACAGACTTTCAAACCAAGGCATCAAGACAGCCACAGGTTCATGGCACTCTGCGTCGCATAAGATTCCATGCCAGTTTAGTTGATCCCGTTATCTTTCTTTTTCTTTCTCCATTCCTGGGACCAAAGCACGCCGCATCGTCATGGTCAGGGCGGTGAGAATCTATCAACGCCTGAGGATTCAGGCGCCAACTTTATAAGTTAAGTTAACTAATATCGGACCCGAAGTATAGTTACTTCGTATACGACGAGGGATCGTTCATTGTGACACGCTTTATGCTGAAATGGTGATTGGGCTGGTCGGTACCTCGCCGGCGCTGGATGAACTACAACCAAGGCAAGTTCAGCTCCCTAAAAAAGGGATGATATCGCACCATGACGCTTTACAAGGAATAAATAGGGAAGTATAGGTTACTCTCTGGTGAGAAAAGCATTAGCAGCTGATGCTGCATTCATGGTGCATACAAAAAGGGAAACATCACGCATAAGCTCGGCAAAACAAAAAGAAGAAGCATATCGCAGATGAGTTCACTCAAGACATAAATCAAATCAAACCGCTGAGTTCGCCTCGATGCCCCACCGCCCCTAAGACCCAAACGCGTCCCAATGATTCGTGAATGAAGGTTTTTTTTCGGGTTTACTATACAGGGCCCAAGGCCAGGCTGGGATCTCAGATCCATTCACAGGGCCATAGCCTTGACTTTGTCGGAATCGTCAGTGCCTGTGCGCCGCCGTTCCTGGTGAGTGGGAGCGGTGGCTTTTTCTTGGCGGGCCTGATCGATTGCTGAGCGCTGTGCAATGCTGTCATCGTGGCTCTTCCAGATGATGTTGGTGTCTGCGGGGAATGCTAGGAGGCGCTTGATCGTTTCTCTGCATGAACGTTAGATATGGTAATTGGGACTTTGTAATACAGCAAATCATACCTAATCTTGATGTTGCGCCCACCGTCGATCCTTGTCCAGACACTCAACACATCTTCGCCGCCCCGAACGCTCAGCACGGCGCCGCAGACTTCGTCTCCAGCCTCCGCGAACTGATCACCGACCATGGCCAAAAGCAAATCCTCCCAGTAGCGGTCAGACACACCCTTCTTAAAACGCACAATCCACTTGCCACCCCGCTTATTGGCCTCATCCTCCCAAACAGGACGGATACCCTTCTTAAAGATATGGTAGTCGGAAACAGTCGGAAGAAGAGATGGGCGCTTAAGGTGAGAGTAGACTGCCCAGAAACTCTCTACCGAGGATATGGAAGCAAGCGGGACGGTGGACTTCTCGTAGTCGGAGTATTTGGGAGTAGGAGGGCGGTACCAGACGATCCACGTCGACTTGAGGGGGTGCTCGCCAGGAGCAGAGACAGAGGGATCAAAAACCTTTTGTCGTAGAGCTTCGTCATGATCCAAGATCTCACGGCGTTCTCCGGGTGTTTTCAACTCGGAGCCACCGGGAGTCTTGGGAGCACCGAATGAGGCGAATGCGCCAGATCCGAGGCCGAAGGCGGAGGAGGCATTGGTAGATGGCGAGGAGACACCGCCGGATAGCGGGGATATTGCGTTAAAGGGATTCGAGCGACCATGCGAGCTGTCCGGCCCGAAGCGTTTCGATGCGCGGGGCATTTCAACCCGAGCGCCACCATCTTTGCCTTCCGTACCGGACATTGAAAGTGACAACTTTGAGGAACTGAGGGTGGAAGAGAAGAAGCTTGGTCAGTGACCATGTTCCCCCAGCCGGAGGAGGGGCACTTACTTTGCCCGACGGGTCCACAGGTTTGCATTATCCATCGCGGCGGGTGAGAAGTCTGCCCGAAACACGAGCGGTCATCAGGGGGAGAGAAGAGAGTCCGATATATCCGTTACACAAAGATGAGACGCCCGCGCTATGATCTTAGTGACGTAGGGTGGTAGGGTTTAGGCTCGGATGATTCTGCGCAGGAATTCGGCGGAGGGAGAAAAGGGTATGAATGCGTGAAGGTGGTATTGAGTAAGATAGAAAATAGAAAAAGAATAGAAGAGAGAAATAGAGAGGGTATCGAGTGTAGGTATGTAGTTCAGATGAGTGCAAAGAGGGAAAACTGTCGATGGATCGGAGACTCGACCTGGGCAGCTTCCACCCAATCACAGCCGCTTTCGCCTGCAGTGCCCGCACCGTCTTTTTTCCTTTTTTCCCTTTTTCTTCGCGCGATTTTCTTCTTTTTCTTCTTTTCTTTCTCCAAGACCACCAACTCAAATCAACGCTGGCGACTCATCCTTTTTACAGCTCTGGCGTTTCCGATGTGTGTGTCGAGATCAAATGAATCGCATCTAAAACCATCATCACGAGGGCTTTATAGCTACCCATGAAGCGTTGATGACCTGATTGACGGCACATTTCTTGACTATGTTATTTTTCTTTGCTTTTATTCCAGTACGTGCAGATAGTCCAATCCGAAGTCTCTGTTATATGAAGAAAAACTCGAGCTCTCTGGTAATCCGAGGTCTCAGCCGCCTTTTTACACCTGGCCTGATGGCCTGGGCTGGTTGAGCGTGCGGTAAACAGGCAAAGTCTGATTGTCCGGAATATGCTATGCAGTAGCTGTTGTCGATTGGAAGAATTAGACTAACCAGTCATGCAGCCTACGTAGGATTCCCCACAGTCAAACAACCCTGTCATCACCTCAGCCACTACTGATGCCACCCGTACCATCTACCATCCACCTACTCTAGCAGTACACCCTTTGAAATGAACTTAAATAAAGTAAATTTTAATTTGAAGATTTATGCTCAATGGGCAATAAGTAACAAGCAAGCCCAAGTCCCGAATAGTGAATCCCGTAAACATAAATGCAAACCATTCCACCTGCCAGGTCCGATGCAGTTCAAAAGCAAAGAAGGAAACATTAAAAAAGATATCACTCGTCACCCGTGCGACGAGCCATGGCCACTTGTATCTTGCCTCGTGCGCTTGGGATCCCGATCACTGCTCGTCACCGAAGCTTCAGCCTTGCGCTTGTCGCGGTCCTTTTGGTTCTGGTACTCCACGCGTCGAGCTTCCTTGCGGAGAGCCTTGGATTCAAACTCGTGCCAGTCTCCTTCAACATGCTCCAATCTGAAAATGAGGTTAGTAAGTGTATCAACAAGGCGTGTGGATTGGGGATACGTACTCAATCGGTGGGTGAGGAGTTGGTTCCTCCGATACGAAGTAGGGATGTTTGAGGACATCTTCGGCACTAGGCCGTTGAGCGGGATCATAGCGGAAGACGGAAGAGATAAGGTCCATGGCACCAGATGTCAGCACATCACGGTAAACATCCTCGAAAACGCGCTTCTTGCGTTCGGTTGGCCGCATGAGGTGGAACCATGGCATCTCCACGAGATCTGGCCATTCGGTCTTCGTGGGAGTACCCAAAAGATTGTAGAGCTTGTCCATCTGGCTAAGTTCACCACCTTCGCCGGGGAATACAGCCTTCTTGGTGAACATCTCCATGCAGACACATGCAGCACTCCACACATCCACAGCTGGGCCGTATCGGGTCTCGCCAAGAAGTAGTTCAGGGGGACGGTACCAGATGGTAATGACGCGGTTGGTGTAGTCGAGTTGGCGACTTTTGGAGAAGAATCGGGCCAGACCAAAGTCGGCAAACTTCAACAATCCTCGATTACTGATCAGGATGTTGGCAGCTTTGATATCTCGGTGGAGGACACCACGGTGATGAAGGTAATTCAGACCTTCAAACATCTGTTTGGCAAGATCCTTCTTGTGGGCGAGGGTGAGGGAGAAAGTAGGATGGTTGATGAGACCAGTTAGATCGTGGGACAAATATTCAAAGACCATGAAACATTCGTTCTTTTCGACCATAACCTCGAGAAGGTTGACGACGTTGTGATTTCTGAGATGTTGTAGCAACTTTATCTCTCGCACCGCTGTGACGGGAAACCGTCTTTTTCACCTTCCATTCGGATTTTCTTGAGCGCAACCTGCCGCTGGGTGTAGACATGGATTCCCTTGAACACTTTGCCATAGGTACCGGCACCGATGACAGACTCATTGCCCGGCTTTCGGAAGTAAACAGAATCAGAATCGGCAAACTCCTTAGGAATTGTGGGTGGAGGTTTAGGGCGAGTGAGGATCCTTTTCTGCTTGGGTGCCTCTCTCAGGGGCTCTGGAGACGGTTCACGGCGACGATCTGGTCCAGGAGGTCGATCACCTGGCCGTCTATCACGGCGTTGATCAAACCGGCGATCATCTCTTCGGTCTCGCGGGTCGCGGAATTCTCGTTGTTCACGGAAGTCTCTGCGATCCCGTCCACGATCACGTCCACCCCGGTCACGGCGATCATGCCTGGGTTCCGGTTTGAACTTGGGCAGTGGCCCGTTGGTCAGCCGATTGCGAGGCTGTGGTGGCTCGGGTGCACGAGGGGCCGGCTCGCGAACTTGCATCCTCTGAGCAAGATCAGGTACAGGTTTCGGCGCGGGTGAAGGTGCAGCCTTGGATTTGAAAGCAAAACTGAACTTCCCGCCTTTGTTCGGAGTCGAGGTATTGGGCTCATCAGTTGGTGGTTGCATGGATGGGGCATTCTCGCTTTCCGGTGCGGGCTGTGCCTGATTATCATCATGGTAATCTCTATTGGAAGATCGAACATGAGGGATCTCCCTGTTTTCGCCTCCCCGAGGGGACTGAGGGTCATTGGTGGAACGCGGTCGATTGGGGGTCTGTGAGCCATGGCTGTGTGCCGGGTGAGGGTTATGTTGTCCTCCACGACCTCGAGACCCCGAAGCAGTCCATTGCAAATTATTAAAATGCCCCTTTGCGTCACGCTGCGGATGTCCAGATTGATAATGATGGGAGCCAGGGCCGGAAAATCGCCGGTCGGGCCCTTGGTTTGAGAAGTTGCCCCGATGACTACCGCCAGAGTGACCACCTCGGTAAGACCCACCATATGGGGACTGAGGGTGATGGTTCCCAGGGCTGTTGAATTGACCTTGATTATGAGAATAATGCCCGTGCCCGTTCTGTGAGTAGCTATCCTGTCGATAAGGAGAGGCGTGACTGGGAGAAATGTCAGAATAATTCAGGGACATAAATGAAAGATGTGGAGCGTCATCTCACCCAGGTGCAGAATACGCCGACGGGCCATTCCAGCCACCTCGTCCAGAGTAAGGCGAGCCTGGTGGCGGGGAGCCATGGTATGAGCCGGCCGTCGGGTGTTGAGGGGATGTTCCATAAGGTCGAGTATCAAGATGTGGCCGGGACGATCGACGATATGGCTTCTGTCTCATATCTGGTCCATGCGGTCCGTGCATTGAAACTGCATCTCGCGGCTCACCAAAGTTATCAGAGTCAAAACTCGGGATCGGGCGTGGTGGAGATGGAGACCTAGGTCTGTCGTCCAGAATGGATTGAATTGGACGGGTAGCATTCATTTCAGAGAGAAGCCTTGATGTGTGAGATGCTACAGAGAGTCTGGAGTGTGAGCCTGCGGAATGCCGCGAGTTCGAGCGATAGTGAGATCCGTGGTCACTGTAATTATCACCACTTAGCGATCGAGACCGTCGGTCAGGTGAAGGATGAAATCCCCGGTCATGAACTGGTGATCTAGATCTTCCTGGGCGTGGAATATCTGGACGGCGACGGTCTTTTCCACGACGATCCCGGCCTCGTCGAGGTGATCTTCGCCTGGGACCACCACGGCCCTGGAACCGGCCACCACGTTTCTTGAATGAAGGGCTTCGGTCTCGTCCTTCGCCGTGCTTGCCGTAGCTTGACTGTGGAGGGAGAGGAGGTCGGCGGCCACGGGGAGAGGGACTTCGAGTTCGTTGGCGTTTGAATGGGGGTCCTGAAGGTGACTCGTCTCGTCGAGTACTCGGGTATTCTCTGTTGAAAGAACCGGAAGGGTGGCCGTTCCAGTCGCCCGCTGATGATGGTCGATTCAAATCCGGTCGACGGTTGTTGAAGGGGACAGGTCCAGGGGAACCTCGAGGAGGAGATCGATCTGATGCAAAATCACCAGGGCCGTGAGAAGGGCCAGGGCCAAAGCGGGACGCGCGTGGTGGCGACCGTCCGGGTCGGTCAAAATTGCGGGTATTGGGCCGATATGGGCGACCTCGGTCACGCCCTCTACCTCTTCCTCGATCACGGCCTGACCCTCGACCTCTGCGCCGGTCCCCGTCACGGGGATCGCGGTCTTGGTCAGCGCTCCACTGGTCTCTCAACGGACTCCTACGGGACCCAGCCATGTGAACTGCGCCAACGGCATCTGGTTCAAATAAAGACAGTAGAGAAGTTCAACAAGCGCCGGTACTTGGACGTAGGCTCGATCTGGAGATAAAGATGAAATGCGTAGGCGATCCAACCGTGTCCGCGTTTCCAGAAGTCTTTCGGGGTTGGGGGAGGCGGAAGGGTAGTTTTTCCGGGTACCGGAAAGTCCGCACTATCAAGCACTGATGAACATTAACGTGAGCAAAGAAGTTGACTGGGGCATACGCACCTATTCAGATTTATCAATACACCATTCAGGCAGAATAACTACTTTGTCGTAAGCGCTGCATGGGGGTTGAATAGCCTTGGGGGTTGAATGGGCCCCGTTGCGGCTCTACAGGTTGATTCGACAAGATGACATGCAGCTGCTGAAACATGTGCAGCTCGTCCTTTGGTGTGATTTCTGGCCAGGAGACTTGCCTTGGGTGCCGAGTATGTCCACTTCTAGCTCAAAGAATGATCTGAAGGGGCAGTTGGTGAGCTGACAGGGTTAGTTCAGATATCGGAGCTCTTTTCTCGAGTCCGATCCGCACTCTGTACAGTTGCCCGTGGCGAAGCCACTTCAGACCGAGTTTGCTTGTCCGACAGAACTATCTACGTATTGTAGGCCAGGCTAACTGCAAAAAAAGATGCTGTTGTGAGCCGTCGACTGAACCCGTTGAATCATCGGGTCACACCATGAAAATCAATGGTCGCTTGGAGCATTATCATTCGCCCCAGTGATCATCCAACTGCCAACCAGGGAGTATCGACTCAACACGTCATGCTTCTCTGTTGAAACCAAATGCCAGTATCACATCGAGGTCAATTTCCCGGACCTCACATTGTAGGCCTGTCAACCCTCCTGTCGGGTGCAAACGAAATGCAGAGAGTCGTCGCGATTTACAGATAAACTGATGGCTTGTTAACCGGAGAAAATTGCCAGGGAATAAAGCACGGGCGGATATGATTTCGATCCTGGGTGAGCTGAGCTGGCATCTTGTCCGTTTCTGCAGTATAAGCGGGTTCTCATGTTGGCACATGTTGATCCATGGGGGAAAGTCGATAAGAACGGTGACGATGCACCGAAGGTGACGGAGTCAATGTACGAGACGCTCAAGGCAAATTCCAACGCTTTTTCCACCCTCGTAATTTCCGGGAATGTAAGTCCGCAACGCTGCGCCCTGTCGAAATGCTAGACCGACTAGAGGTCTGACCATAGTCAACCCCGCCCTCATATTCAACCACAAGACATCCAGTTCTAGGACAAGGAGCCCACAATATGCAATCTAAGATCAAGAAACGCCTGATGGTATGGTGGTTGAAAGGAAAGGCCGGGCCTGAAACTTTGGGCCGCGATCGAGCGGGATGAGCTGGTACAGGGACACCCGACCGTCCTCAAACGGGGGGAAGCACACATCACAAATCGACCAGGGGGCATTATTCAACAAAAAGGAATCTGTGCATGATCAGTAAGGGCGCATGCCACGTTGAAGAACTAGGGCGGAGATGGAGGTTGATGTCATGGTCGAGGTTGAAGCGTTGGATCAGAAGGTGGTGTCACATGGGGATCATGTGATGTTATCTCTTCAAGTTAGGGCAAGGAGGTTCATATATCACTCGTTACATTAATTGTTCTAATCTTACAGAAACCATGACAACTCTTTTCTCAGCAATTGACAGGTCATTCATAATGCACAGATCCCGCGATCCTCAACGTCTCTTAACTTTCCCTCGCCAATACTCCATACACAGATTGTCATTGCAAAGGTCGGTCAGTGGGCATCTACTTGGGCAAGGCACACTGCTCGCCCAGGAACTGTTGCATCTCATCTGCCCTGTAAAGAGAATCATTCACATCAGGAGCTTCGTACACCTCCAAGGTGAGTGAACTGTCCAGTTGACGGTGCGTATATTCATCGTTTGTCAAGATATCCAAAGGGATCAATCCCCAACGTTGGATTGGACTGGGAGCAAATGAATTGAGATTGATGTGGACAAAGCGAACGGGATAGTAGACAGGATACTGCACAAAGTCAATCCCACTACTCATGAGGCATCGGACTTCCCACGTTATCCATGGGTACGCAATGGGAATAGGCTCCTCCCAGCGATGCCAACCTGTCCAATGCGGAGATGGCGTATGTTTCCGAGGGTTGCGCTGTGTCTCATGTGATTGTAACAGGAAGACTTCACTGAACATGTGTCGCCAAACGAACTTTCGTAGGCCAGTGCTTGTGATTGCAAGAGTTTCAAGGTCTGCGCGTGTGAGGTGACCTGCAATAAGTGCAAGGATTTCGAAAATTCCAACGAAAGGATCGCCAAGAGAGAAAGAGCTGTCACCCATCGCGTCTTCATTCGGGCTTGGAAGAGCTTTTTCGGCAAACTCTGGGATCGATGCAAAGAAAGTCTTACGGTCAGGGCCATCTCTTGGAAAAAGATTGAGAATAAAACCTTCACCTGCAGGATTTAGCCCCAAGACACCTAGGTTGTCCGTCAACACTCCCATAAAGAGGGGCTCTATGGGGTGATTGGAAATTGACCGTACTAGTCTGCTGTGGAGAGAGAAATATGGATTGGTAGGTGGGAAGCATTTGACCTGAGAAGTTGAAATTTCTTCAGGGGTCTGTGTATCTTCAGGAAATACCCCGTCTTTGCCAATTTCGTTGTCCAAGAGATCAAATGTGGGAAACGGTGCCCAACATCCGTCACCTCCTCCAAAAGGAGTCTGGCGATGAATATTGCTAGCCTCATCGGAAACTGCTCGAGTAACTTGAAGAGGAATATCTCCAGCCGGAGTAGATCCCTCGCGAGAAGCATTGTCAGCCTGGTTCACACCACCCATAGACCCTGCATCTGGTCTGCGTGATGACCCACGGGCTGGATTAATAGGCGGCGGGCGTGGTGTGCTTGGGCGTGGAGGATACGTAAAAAGGCGACCCGAAAAGATAGCCGTGTTAGTCAAACGGCAATGCGTCAATCTCGGACGTGGATCCCTCGAAGCAGATAAGCTAAACCCAGGGGGTCGCCTTGCTGCTAGTCGTGGATTAGACACCGCAAAAAGCGGGGCCGATGAGATGGACGAAGTAGGCGCAGAGGCGTGCAGTATTGTCGGACGAGGTCGTGGATCCCTCACAGTAGACGAATCAGGAGTGGTGCGCAATGTCATACGCGGTGTCAACACGCCAGGCGGCACCGAGGAGGCAGGCAACTCTGGTGAAGGGGTGCGCGGTCTTACCGGACGGGGATTTCTCATGGTAGCTGAATCAGACGAAATGGAGCGCACCGCCAGGGTCGGATTCGACACTACAGGCGAGAGTGACGAGGCGACCGGACTGGGTAAGCGAAGACGCACTTCCGCCTCACGAGGAGGTGGATCAATAGTGGGACCGGAGGGAACAGACAGAGTTGGTGAAGCAGCGTGTGGATTTATGCGAGCAGATGAAACGGATTCAGCCAAGCGCGATATTGCCAAACGGTGATGCATTTCCAAGACTGATCTCATATCTCGATTGCGCTCAGCAGCGGCACTGGGTACAGCAGATGAAGTTGACGTAGCAGAGAGAGTCGAAACTTCAGGGGCAATTGGTGCGTCAAGAGTCGGTGCAGCAGGAGGCGGGCTTAGTGCGGTAGAGGGAGCCGGCAACCAAGGAACACGGGGGATAGGCTGCATGACACCATGAAACCTCGCAGGTGGAATAGCCACAATATGAGCGCCTTCGGGGGTGATGATGATCCATGGAGGTGTCTGGTGGGTGCGGCCTCGACCAGGGGTAGTCATTGGCTGGAGTTGGTCAATTGGGATGCCAACAAGCAGCTGCTGCCGGACGAGCCATGCTTCCAGCATGCGCTCAGGAGAATATGGCACAGCACCTTCGGGCCATGGAGCTGGTGACGATGACGATCCTGGCTGGCCGAATCGAGATGCAAAGGATGTACCACGTGTAGGTGACACGGTGTTGGGGTTGGGAACCGTAACAGAGGGGTTTTCCGCAGGCAAAGGAGACACTGGTGGTAGCACACGATCAGAAGCTGCACGGTACATTGGATCGTCGAGCATGATCGGGACTTCGAAAGACTCAGGCAGCAGCAGCTCAATAGATTGAGTCGCAACAGCTTCAGGATTTGGGCCAGGTCTCATAGTTGATGGCTCCACGGCTGCTCGTTCGGTACGAGGAGTAATCGGGCCTGAGTCAAGTCGCATACGGCCTTGGAACGTGTTAATGGGGTCCAGGATCACTGGTGGATTTTGTGGCTGAAAAGAGGGTGACTGGTGTCCAGGACTGGGAGACTCGTCTCTGTCAGAGCCAGTCATGGAGCCTTGAGCGGCTGGACGCTCTGCACGATCACTCATGATGATTCGATGTATCCTTTTTGCTGTTTTACCTTTCCTTTTTCTTATTTGCTTTTTTGTTTTTCAGGGAGTTTTGAGGCTTCGGCAGATAGGGCTGGGGGGCTCGACTTTTCAGGCAAATTGTCAGTATGCGGTCAAACAGCCGGTATGATCCACAACAAATGCCAATGACATATGCTCAGTGTTTGGGATAGGGAAAGCAGCAGCAGAACGAAACGTAAACAAAGAACTTTGTGTCACTCGTTTCTGCCAAAGGCAGCGGTCTTGTGAGGCCGAACGTAATGTAACGAGAACAGGACGTCAAAACCCGTCAGACTCCGCTTATTATATAAGACAACTGCCGGTAGTCGGGCCCGGTGTTGAGCCCAACCTGACTGACAGGGTGAACTCTATGCACAGGTGCCGGTTGCACCGCCAGTATAGGCAGGGTGTCATGGAACAGGCATATGGGTATGAGGCAGATTGGGAGAGTAGATCAGACATGAGCAAGAGACTTACGGTAATTTCGGGCTGGTGACCACTTCAGCGGTGGAACTGATCGTGAAGTGAAGATGCCACAGGCAGTGGCCGGCAGTAGCTGGGAGTTGATGAAGCGCTGGGAGGTGCAGAGGTGCAGATACTGCACGTATTTGTGCAGAAAGAGAGTATGGAAATAACGGTGGAGCAGGATGGAAAGGTGGAAGAAAGCAAGGTTGAGGTCGAAAGGGGAAAGAGGGAGGTGGGACAAAAAGATGGGTGAAGATAAGTGTAATAAACGAAGTGCGAGATATGTAACGTTATCGTATGCTTATTTGCACAGGCTCCTGAAGTGAGGATTATATGCCCGTATAGTGGTGTCGCAGGCCCGTATGCTCGTCTCGCTCGGGATATCTTGTCGTATTTGAGAATTTGTTCTGGCGAATAACCAGAATCATAAGAGGCAAGCACCACTTAGCCGTTCCAATTTCAAACGCTCAACGGGGCACTTTGGAGATAACTCAAGAAGTCCTCGTTTTCCCATGCTGGTCCCTGGCAATGGTTACTTGGAGATTTGTTCAGGATATGCATAATTCCGCTTATTCCTGAGTGACGAAACAAGACAAAATGGGAAGAACACTGGTACGTAGCACATATACAAAGATAAAGAAGGAAAAAATGATTCCTAGGTAGGAATAGTCATACAAAGTGGGGGAATCAAGTGTTGAAACAGCCTTGCCAGCATCATTGAGATCGAGGTTGAAACTCACGGCTAGATAGCAAAGGCCTCTTGAGGGTAGTGTTAGTAGGATTTTCTTTTTCTCTCTCCTTTGTTGATCAAGGAGAGGGTTCCATCATGTTGTGAAGTCGTCAGGCAGATTGCGAGAACATAACTTCATAGAACAAGGGAACATGACATAACAGGGCAGATGATGCCGAAGTATATGCAAACATTAGACAAGACAGAGAAACACCAGTTCACGCTCTACATTGAAAAGGAAAAAAAGCAAGAGCACCCAAAACCTGTTGAAAGGTAACCGCCAAAACTCCGGAATCCGTAAATCAGCGCCCCATAATTAAGCACGGGGTTGATGACATGGGTCATTATCTGCGGTTGAGGAGCGTCAAGAACTCCTCTCGAGTCTTAGCGCTGGACCGCATGCATCCAAGCATGCAGCTGGTAGTCGTGGTGCTGCTGACCTTCTGCACGCCACGCATGACCATGCAAAGGTGAGAAGACTCCATGACGACACCTACACCACGAGGCTTGAGGACTTCCGAAATGGCAAGGGCAACTTGCTTGGTCAAGCGCTCCTGGACTTGAAGTCTGCGAGAGAACATCTCTGCCAGACGAGCCAGCTTGGACAGGCCAAGGACACGACGGTCAGGGATATATCCAATGTGCATCTAAATGAGGTCAGGAAAGATCGCGCAACTTGGATATCAATGATTCATACCTTTCCAGTGAAGGGAACCATGTGGTGTTCGCAAAGCGAGAAAACGTCGATATCCTTGACAATGACCAACTCGTCGTGGTCCTCGTGGAAGACGGCGCCGTTGACCAGATCCCGAACGTTCTCCTCATAGCCCTTGGTGAAGTAGAGCATGGCCTTGGCGTATCTCTCCGGGGTCTCGCGAAGACCTTCTCTCTCGGGATCCTCTCCGATACATTCAAGAATGGTCCGGATAGCTCCGGACAGCTTCTCAATTCGTTGGTCGGTCTCCTCCGGGGTCGACTCCAGCCGCTGTCTAGTTCCGGGGCCTGATTGCACTGATTAGATACAATTCCCGTGGGTATAGTGTTCAGAAGTGTAGCTGGCATCACTTACAAGGCCAGCTAAGGCCATCAAAGTCGATGGGTGGGTTCATTGTGTAGGGGCTGGCAGGGCGGCTGACGGTGGCCGGAGGGGTTAATGGGCCGCCTTCATCCCGGGGGTCGCGGGGAGGGTCATTCAAAGTAGGTCTGTATCCAACCGGTTAGCAAGAGGTGAACGATAGGCCACGTATGGCGAATATATCGTCAGGTACGCACCGGACTGGGACAACGTTGCGAATTGGCACCGATGCAGCGGAAGTGGACTCGGTGGGGACGGCAGCTACAGTCTCGGGTGCAAATTGCAGGGGAACTCGGGGTTCAAAAGAGGAACGGATAGAAGAATTGAGGCTCTCACGCTCACGCTCATCACGGTGACCGGTGGACGATCGCTGCAGGGGAGAGCTTCCATTCAACATGTGGGACGGAATAGCTGACGGCTTCGAGGCTGGAGGGGAACCAGAACCCATGATGTGTATGAGAATGTCGTTGACGAAGTATAAAATAGCAATCACCGTTTCTCGATGATATAGCAGAAAATAAGAAATTCTAATCTTACAGAAGAAATTTTGGTCAGATTAGTTGCCTCACGGGACGCTAACCTTCTTTTTCCCCCCGCTCTGCCCCCCAATTTTATTCACCGCCCGGGCTATCGTTATCTGCCATGTCGATCACGTCCCACTTACAGAAGGCCTACATGTTTGCAGCATGCATGTGATGGGCTGTACATTGCTTTTTAAAGTCACAAAGTTAGTATGGTTCTAATACGTCAATAGGCAAACTCGCTTACCCATGTATATAGCCTCAGCCCTATTCGGTGAATCATTAAGATGAAATGCAAATCCTGTTGATAGTCCCGTAGGATCAAATGGCATACCCAGCTAAGCCCTTTAACCCATACACTGTTTGATTTGTTATAATCCTTGTGGTATCATATAAGACTGGTTGGCTCGGTGCTGGTAATACCCTAGTGAGTTAAATAGCGCACTAGAGTGCTATTTGATTGTCACTTGCCATTATTCCCAGATATATATTTAGCCACTCTATCATGTTATGTTTCGACAGGAGCTTTGCAGAATTTTCACCTAAGACATGGCTGGCTAGAAACCTGGACAGCCCGTGGTTGCCTCGTTAACGGTCTATTGGATCATTGGAGCGCCACAAAAAGATCAGGGAAAGCTCACTGCAGAGCCTAAGTTTGACAAGGAGTACCATAGATTGTATATCAAAGGATTGGTATTTTGAATAGTTACTCATTATTGTCCTTGACTCGTCTGCACCGAAGAAACACCGATATGGCAAATAATTGAATGGGCATCTGCATGTTAAGAAAATATCACGCCTCCAGCTCTTCAGTGGGCACATCGTCCAGATCCTTGCCCACGATGGCATCGGCCACCTTCCACACCTGCAATAGATTGTCCTCAGCAGCAGAGCAAAGAACCCAGGGGTCACTAAGGTTCCAGCTGAAGTCAGAGATACGGTTTGTGTGTCCACCGTGCATAAATAGCCTGGGATAAAGTCAGTGATCAGCTCAAATAGATCAATACAAGCAAGATACAGTGCCACATACAGCTCTGGTGGCCCATCCTGGGCATCCTCCGGCGTTTGCTCCTCGCCTGCTCGGCTGAGGTCCCAGAACATAATCTTGCGGTCGTAGCTGGAACTGGCCAGGACTGACTCCTCGAATGGATGCCACGAGATCGACTGAACCGAGTCAGTGTGACCCTCTAGCGAGTGTAGCTTCGACTTCAGGTTGCGGAGATCCCAGATTCCGATGGTCTTATCAGCAGAGCCTGTGGCCAGGATTGTCTCGGCCGCCGGGTTGAAGGAGATGGAGTTGATAGCATCGCGATGCTGGCCATCAGCTGAGGCAGCCGCACGTGTAGAGTCATCTTGACGGGTGTCAAGGATCTGAAGCGTGATGTCATCGGAGACGGTTCCGATGAGGGAGGAATGAAGAGGGTGGTGTTGAACGTCGTTGACGATCGATGAGTGGTGAGTGAAGGTGCGGCTTGGTCGAACTGCCTTGTTACCCTTGGTGTATGTGGTAATATCCCTGCGGTCCAGCTCGGTCAGTTGCTGGTTGAAATGCCGTCCCTTGAGACAATCAATGCTTACCAGAGTCGAACAGTCTTATCCTCGCTACCTGTCGCAAGGTGGCCAGCTACGTGGGGGTTCCAGCTAAGCCCAAAGCCTTCGGCCTCGTGGCCTAGAAGCTCCATTTGAGGGTTCACTGTGCCGGTTGGCAAGCTCGGGTGCTTCGAGCGATCCCATATCATCACTCGTCCATCCGTGCACATCGTCGCAATGATATTAGGATTCTGGGGCTGGTAGCGGGCCTTGTTTACCTCGCCCTTGTGGTCGATCTTCTGAACGATGTTGAATTTGATTTCCATCTGGGGCTTCTTGGAACTTCCACCGTAGCCGCCAATCTCTCCCTTATCCTCATCGTAGTCATCGGGATTCGGGGCATTGGGGTTAGGAAGCTGAACATGCGCAATTTGAAGGTAATTCTGCGCTTCGCCAGTGGTATGTGTGCCAATGAGAAGACGATGGGTCGAGTAGGGCTTGTCTGGGACTCTAAAGAGGTGCTTGGTTAGATCGACAATCACGATGGGTGAACTTGGAGCATACTCTTGCTTATCTGGCAGCCACTGTGTTGTAAGTGTCGGCCATTCTAGTGCCGTGCTCAGGATCATGTCATAGAGGAATGGCGCATTCTTCTTCC